TTTCTTTCTTTTTTTCTTTCTTTTTTTCTTTCTTTTTTTCTTTCTTTCTTTCTTTCTTTCTTTCTTTCTTTCTTTCTTTCTTTCTTTCTTTCTTTCTTTTTTTCTTTTCTTTTCTTTTCTTTTCTTAAAATTTGCTTATTTTTCCTGTGTATGTGTATATATGTGTCATGAGGTCAGAGGACAACTTGTGAGAGTCAGATCTCTCCCTCGTGGATTCCAAGGACTGAACTTGGGTTATCAGGCTTGGTGGTGGGTACCTTCACCTGTGTGTGTGTGTGTGTGTGTGAGAGAGAGAGAGAGAGAGAACAGGAGCTCGTGTGTGGCGGCCAGAGATCAGTCTTGGCTGTTGCTCCTCACATGACAGAAGTGTGCACTGGGGCTGGGGCTTAGGGATTATGGGCTAGCTGTCCAGGGAGCCCCAAGGATGTGTCTTGTCTTTGCAGCCCTGCACTGGAATTACAAGCATATGCCACCATGCCTGGCTTTTTATGTGGGTACTGGGGTTCCTAACTCAAGTCCTCATGCTTGCATATCAAACACTTTATTGATTAAGCCATCTTCCCAGTCCAGTTTAGTCCTTTCTCACTATTTTCCTTCTTTCATGCTTTCTCTTGGGTGAATTGAACTTTCCATTTCATAGGTTTTCTTTTCTTGATTGTGACTGAGTTTTTTTTTTTTTTTTTTTTTTTTTTTTTTTTTTTTTGGTTACCCTATGTAAACTTAACTTTTATTCACCTGATTTAATTGTAGTCTTGTAAGCTTACTGCCTCCATCTGTTAATGTAGGCCTAGTCCTGGAAGCTTTTAGCTTCCATACAATCTAATCTAGTCCTAGAATGTTTTTAGCCTCTGAGACTTACTGCTGAATAAGTTCACTCTTTCTAGCTCTTTCTGAATTCTGGCTGGCTGGTTCAACTCAGCTGTCTGGCTCAAAACTCCTCTCCAAGATGACAGATTCAAACTGGCTCCCCTCAGCTTCTGACTGAATTGCTCTGCTTGGCCTCATACTAACTCTGGCAATCTGTTGTAGTCTCTGGCTCCTTCTCATTCTTTGGCTTGTTCTGTCTTCACCTGTGTCTAACTTGTTCTCTCTTCAACCTGTTTCTGTAAAACTCTACCAGTAAAACTGTCTTCTACCCCCCGCCCCCACACTATACTAAGTCCTCTTTTATCTGTCTCTTCTGGTGAGTGTTGGGCATATCTTATCCTGGATCATCCTGTCAAATCTTTCTTTGACTCGTAACTTTGTCTGACCCTCAGTTAGACATCACTTTCAAAAGATGGGTGTTTCCTTCTGTAAACTGACTTCATTGTTTGAGATTAAAGGTGCGTGCTAAGGGTATGTCTGTATTTCAGCTAGAGTAGCCATGTTGCTGGATGAAAATCCCTCTGCACCCTAGAAGTTATAACATCAATTAAAACAAAGTTTAAGCTTATTAATATTTATAATTTCATTCAAAGTACTATAAGCTCATTAGGCTATTGTAGAGTACCTTCTTTATGAAGTACAGGCTATCTTACTAAAATGTGTTATTATTTTTATAGTCAGTTTTTGGGAAATACAATCCATTCGATTATTTCATTTTTCCTTGCTATATTTTGTTGTTGTCAAATCCAGATTTAAAATATATGCCTATGTGTGTCTGTGTGGGTGTCAGAGAGGGCTTTGGATTCTCTGGCACAGTAGTTGCAAGTGGTTGTGGGCCAATGGATGTGAGTGCTGAGAGCTGAACTCCGCAAGGACAAAGAGTGCTCTTCACTGCTGAGCTGTCTCAGTGGTCCCTCAATCCAGATGTTATAAATGTAAATCTAGGGAGCCAGGCTTGGGCCTCTTACCATTTCTCTCTGTGAAATTTGCCTTTGTTTTTTCCTAGTTCACTCCCTGAGGTAGTTTCCCTGGAGCGGGGAAAGGTGCTGAGGCTGCATCTGTGCTAGCAGCCTGTTTTATGTGTGCGAGTGCAAGCCACAGCATGCAGACGGAGGCCGGAGCGTAGCTCACTGGAGGCAGCACTCTCCTTCACATTCAGGTTCTTGAGAGTTAATACCTGTTCAACTACTATTCTTGTGAAAAGTTATTTGAAATGCTTACGGTAGTTTAAGCCACACAGACACAGCGTTATATGAACTCTGTGTTTTGTCCATTTCTGGCTCTAATAACACCCTGTGCATACTAAGTTATAAAGGAAATGTTCATTTTGGCTTATGCTCCTGGCCTAAGTTGCAGGCCACACCTAGAGATGGTCTTCTTGGTGGCAGAGGGCACTGCATGGTGAGAGATAAGGAGAGAGAAGTATGTCTTCTGGCCTCCTGCGTGTCTGCTTTTTCCTCTGGTGGGTGGTGGCTTTACTTACTTACTGTTTTTAAAATGGGGTCTCACTGGACCTCTGGCAGTCTTTTTATCTTGGCCTTTCACATGTTGAGACTACAGGCATGACATTATTCCTGGCTCTGGTTTTCTTTCTTTCTTTTTTTTTTTTTTTAAACTTTATTTATATCTCAAACGTATGTGTATTCTGCCTCATGTATGTCTGTGCACCACGTGCATGTTAGGTGCCCATGGAGTTCTTAAGCCAGTACGGGATCTCCCTGAACTGGAGTTACAGTTAGTTGTTAGCCACCATATTCAAATACAGATGAAAGGAAACACTTTTTACTTTTTAAAAATGTTTTACTTTTTTTTTTTTTAAGATGTATTTATTGTGTATGAGGTGTTCTGCACCAGACCTCATTATAGATGGTTGTGAACCCACCATGTGGTTGCTGGGAATTGAACTCAGGACCTTTGGAAGAGCAGCCAGTGCTCTTAACCTCTGAGCTGTCTCTCCAGTCTTTTATTGAGGCAGAGTCTTATTATGTAGTCTTGGCTGGACTATGTAGACCAGGTTAGCTTTGAACTCGGAGGTCTGTCTGCCTCTGCTTCTTTGAGTGCTGTGATTAAAGATGTATGCTACCACACTGAGCACGTCTTACTTTTTGATAGAAAGAGGCAGCTGTGGTGCTCCATGCCTGTGCTTCAGCACTTAGGGTGAGACAAGGAAGACAGGGCTGACTGCTGCAGAGCAAGAAGGGGACCCGAGAGTTAGCTGGTGCAGTTTCCTCTACCTGTGAGGCCACGGGCTGAGAATGAGAGACGAACCATGACCACAGACTAGTTCTGTTTCATAGTCAGAAAATGGCTGCAATTTAGGGCTCTCTCTCTCTCAAAATATATTTATTTATTATTTACATAGTATTCTGCCTGCATGTATGCTTGTGAACCAGAAGAGGACACTAGATCTCACTATAGATGGTTATGAGCCACCATGTGGTTGCTGGGAATTGAACTCAGAACCTTTGGAAGAACAGCCAGTGTTCTTAACCTCTGAGCCATCTCTCCAGCCCCTAGGGATCTCTTTTTGTCTCTGTCTCCCCACCTCTTTGAAGTGGGTCTCACTGTGTTGTCTAGGCTCGCCAGGAGCTTGTAACGATCCTCCTGCCTCAGCCACACTGTGCCTGGCTTGGAGTTTACCTTCCGGAAGCTCTTCTACTCTACACTCTGCTGTCTTTTTCTAATCCTACAGCCCACTGACTGAGGACCCTGAGTGTTCCTCCTTTCGGAGTTGTCTTGCCTAGCTGAAGGCAAAACCGTTGACAGTACCTTGACATGTAGCGGGCATGTGCAAGGTGTTTCTTCACTGTTCCTTTCTCTGTGACCATCACCGTGGAGCCACACTTCTAGAGCAATGGAGTGCTCAGTACAGCTCAACTTCTTACCTTGTCCTTTTCTCAGGTGCTCAGAATTTTGACGTGATACGACTGTCAACGTACAGAACAGCTTGCAAGTTACGATTCGTGCAGAAGCGATGCAACCGTAAGTCATTTCTTATCTCTTTGATGGCCAGATAGGGCTCCTGGTATTGTGAAGTAATTTCAGTATCTTCCAGGCATATTGTAAGGTAGTTGAATTCTGTTTCTCTTTTTGTAAAGAATTTATTTTTATCATTTTAAAATTACGTGTATGAGTGTATGTCTGTGTGGGTTTGTGCAGGCAGGTACAGATGTCCCAGAGATCACAGGCACAGGATCCCTTGGAGCTGGGGTTGTAAGCAGTTGTGAGCCACCTGACGTGGGTGCTGGGATCTGAATGTAGGTCCTGTGGAAAGGCAGTACGTGCTTTCAGCCACTGAGCCATCTCTCCAGCCCCAGTTAATTGTTTGTCTTCTATGTTCATTAAAATATAAGCTTTATAAATTGGAGTGAGTTTGTCATTTTATTCCTGTGTCTCTTAAAATGTGTAACAAAATTGATAATGCTATAAGCAATGTTGCTAGAATGTGGGTTTTTAAACTGTATTTTATTTACTGTGTGTGTGTGTGTGTGTGTGCATACACACACACACACACACACACACACACTATGGTTGACAGAGGGCAGAGGACAACTTTCAGGAGTCACTTCACACTTTCCGCCGTGTGGATTCCAGGTCCACGCTCAGGTTCTCAGTGTTTGTGCGTTTGCCTTTACTCCCTGAGCTGTGGAACTTGCTCCTGTTACTGGGACTTGGAATTAGTTATGGGTTCTGAGATGACATAGTATTAATGCTATTTAAACGGGAGAAAATCCTTTGTACAAAATTAATATCTTTACTAGTTACTGAAAGTCCTTGATGTTTGGCTACAGATACAGTGAAAATTGATTTTCTTGATTAAATTTAGTATAATACAAATCAACTCATTCAATAAATAACTGTTCCCATATGGATTATAAAATAAGATATATGCAGATATAAATGTATATAAACACATACGTATTCTTCTACTGTCTGTGAAGATGAATTGTTCCAGAATTGCTGTACTTTTCTTGCGCGCACATGTGTTAACGAAAGGCTTGTTTGCATAATGAGAAGCACAGAGTTTTTAGCATTTCTTATGGACAAATGTCTCTAGCAAGTCATTTTACATTTGATCTCTTCTGTCAGATGGTAAGACTTAAAAACCCTTCCCATATACATAAATAAATCTTTAAAAGGGCTGGGGTGGGTAGGAAGATGGTTCAGTGTTTAAGAGTGTTGGCTGCTTTTCCAGAGGTTCTAAGTTCAATTCCCAGCACCCACATGGTGTCTCACGAGCCTATAACATCAGATACCTTCTTTGGTGTGCAGAAAGATCTACATGCAGATAAAAACATCCATAAAGTAATAAATAAATCTTAAAAAAAAAGAATGAAATATCCTGCCAGGTTTTGGGTATGGTAGTGCACACCTCAGAGGCAGGCATATCTCTGTGAATTTATGGGCCAGCCCATTTTACATATCAAGTTCCATGGTAGCCAGGGCTACATAGTGAAACCCTGTCTCAAAAAAAAAAAAAAAAAAAGACTCCTAGATCCTGAATTCCCAGAGCTTGTCATGCCGTCTTGGATTGCAGCCATGTTTCTTTCATTGCCATTTTCCAAAGCATTAATTTTCAATTTATGGATGATGACCCATTAGTGCTTCATGAAGTTGCTTTTGATGGGCTCTAGCCAATGTAAGGTGAGTAATACAACAGAAAACTAGAGAAAAAGAAGCCACCAGAGTTCAGCTAGGGCAGTTAAAAAAAAAAGGTGTTTTTGAAACTTGTGTGTGTCTAGATGTATGTGTACGGGAGAAAAGAAGAAAGGCAGAGAGGTTGATTGGTATTAAATACATCTGTGGGTGAGTGTGGGTTGTGGCCAGGGTGCTTGAAAGCCACTCTCTTAGCACAATGGTCTGAAAGTTTATGTAATTATTCTGGGGAGAATGTGGTCTGTGTATAGTGGTGTGAGCCTGACACAAGTGCTGTTAATTGTCCTAGTTGCTCTTCTGTTGCTCATCTGTGCTAAGATACTGTTAGAGAAGAGATAGTAACTGGAGGCTCACAGTTTCAGAGCATGAGTTTATGTCCATCCTGGCTGGGAACAGCTAGGCATGGTGCTGGGGCAGTCAGGAGACAGAGGAAGCTAAGCAGGGATGGCATGGTTTTTGAAACATCAAAGTCCACCCCCGGGGACACACCTTCTCCACCAAGGCCAAGCCTCTTTATCCTTCCCAAGTAACTTCATCAACCATGGACCAAGCATTCAGATATATGAGCCTATGGGACCATTCAAACCACCAGAGTAAAGTTCTAAAATTTTAATTTTTTCCTTCCCAATGTGTTGTACATTCAACTGTGAATTTTTCTGTATGTAGATGTACATTTCTGTATGTAGATGTACAGCGTAAATGGAATCAACTTTCAGTGTTAACTTTCTGTGCCCTGTGTTCTGTTGTCATCCTTATACTGTTTATTGAAAAGACATCTTAAAAAAAAAAAAAGATGTCTTTTCTTTTTTTTTTTTTTTTTTCTGCCAAAGATATTCATTCATTAGGGGAAGAATACAGGGCCTGAGGAGATGGCTCTGTGGTTAAGAGTGCTCGCTGCTCTTGCAGAGGGCCTGCATTTGATTCCCAGCACCCACACAGTATCTTTGTAACTTCCATCCCAGGGGATCTGATATCCTCTTCTGATCCCCACAGGGATCAGGTACACATGTGGCAAACAGACATATGTGCAAGGCCAAACATTCATAAAATAAAAGTAAATGAAGATATAATTTTTTTTTTTAAAAGAAGAAGAGTATAAGATGGTTCAAAGTAGTGTTCTCATGTGAGAACATCAGTTGACAAACTTTCTGTGTTTTCTGGGTCTGTGTCCTGATGCCCAGGGAATACAGAAAGGTTGTCAACTGATAATCATCATTATAGCGTTATAGTAAGTCCTGAGGCAGGGGGGGAGATGGCTTAGCAGTTAAAAGCACTTGCTGTTCTTTCAGCAGACCTGGGTTCTATTCCCAGTACCCACATGGTGCCTCACAGCTGTCTGTACTTCAGTTCTAGAGGACTGGACTCTCGTCTGTCCTGTGACATCCGGGACACTGCATGCTCATCATGCACAGACATACACACAGATGAAACATTCATATACACGGTTTTAAAAAGTTATGTTCTTCATTAAATTTATTTTCCCCTTTCCTTTTTTCTCTGATTATTCCCATGTACCCTCTTCCTGTCTCTCAAACTTATGGCCTCATTTTAAGAATTGTTATTGTTATGTGTCTCTGTGTATGTACCACTAAACATATAAATACAATCTTCCCAGTCTATACAATGTTACTTGTGTATATATGTTTCAGAGCTGACTGCCAACTTGTAGCCAGATAACCAACTTGTAGCGCTTTCCTAGGGGAGACTAGGAGACTAGTTCTTAGTATTCCTTAGTTGTCTATAGTTCTTTGTCCAGGGCTGAAGCCTCATGAGATCTCTTTCTTCTATGTTGGCATGTCTGTTGGCATTGTCCTTGTTCAGGTCCTGTCTAAGCAGCCATGTTGTTGTGACTTCACGGTGTAGCTCTCCTGTCATAGCTAAAAGGCACACTCTGGCAGCTGACTTCCTGGTCCTCTGACTGCTATCTTCTTTGCTATTTGCTGAGCCTTAGATGTAGGAGTTGCCTTGTTGGTGTATCGGTTGTGGCTGGGCAGCACATGATTTACATACTTGTACTCTGCGGTTTGATTGGTTGTGATTTTCTGTAATAGCCTTTGTACAGTTGGACTCTGGTGCAAGCTGTGCGGGGCCTGGCCAGGTGGAAAGGTTGCCACATACTTGGGGTTTTACTAGGGCTCTTGGGATTTGGACTCAGGGCCTCATGATTGCACAGGAAGTGCTCTTACCCAGTGATCATCTATCATGCCCAGCCTGTATCTCTTTCTCTCTCCTTCCCCTGAGGGTAACCTTGAACTTCTCCTGTCTTTTTTTTTAAATATATTTTTATTTTATTTTTTAAAATTCTTTATTAAATTACACTTTATTCACTTTCTATCCCCCCTCTGGTTCCTTCCCTCCTCCCATCCCAATCCCTCCCTTCCTCCACCTTCTGCATGCATGCCCTTCCCCAAGTCCACTGATAGGGGAGGTCTTCTTTTCCTTCCTTCTGATCCTAGTCAATTAGGTCTCATCAGTAGTGGTTGCATTGTCTTCTTCTGTGGCCTGGTAATGCTGCTTCCCCCTCAAGGGGAGGTAATTAAAGAGCAAGCCAATCAGTTCCTGTCAGAGACAGTCCCTGTTCCTATTACAATGGAACCCACTTGGATACTGAATTGCCATGGGCTACATCTGTGCAGGGGTCTTAGGTTATCTCCATGCATAGTCCTTGGTTGGAGTATCAGTCTCAGGAAAGACCCCTGTGCTCAGATTTTTTGGTTCTGTTGCTCTCCTTGTGGAGTTCCTGTCCTTTCCAGACCTTACTCTTTCCCACTTCTTTCCTAAGATTCCCTGCACTCTGCCCAAAGGTTGCCCGTAAGTCTAAGCATCTGCATTGATAGTCTGCAGGGCAGAGCCTTTCAGAGGTCCTCTGTGTCAGGCTCCTGACTTTTTCCCTCTTTTCTCCTTCTTCTGATGTCCATCCTCTCTCTTTGCCTTTCTGGATAGGAATTGAGCATTTTAACAAGAGTCCTCCCTCTTGATTATTTTCTTTAGGTGTACAGATTTTAGTAGGTTTATCCTATATTATGTGTCTATATGAGTGAGTATATACCATGTGCGTCTTTCTGCTTCTGGGATAGCTTACTCAGGATTGATCCTCCTGTCTTTATCTCCCAAGTTCTGGGATAACAGATATGTGCCACCACACTTGGTAAAAGATGTCATTGTGTGTGTGTTCTGTACCTGTGTGCTCTTGTATATACAGCTGTTCCTGTCCCTGCTGTGCCCTGTGGAGACCAGATGGGTCTTCCCCAGTCACTCATCACCTTATATTTGAGATGGTGTCTTTCACCAACTCTAAGCAGGCTTTGTACTCATAATAGTCTATTTGCTGAGTGCTGGGACTGTAGGCATGAGCCACCACACCCAGCTTGTTTTCACTTTTTTTTTTAAATATTATTTTTGAAGCACAAAAGTTTGTTAAGTTTGAATGAAAATCCAGTGTGTCTACTTTTCTTTTGATTGTTTGTACCTGAGTGACTTGTTTGGACTCTTTCGGGGGTTTTCTGCCTTTCCCCATTAACGCCAGCATCGGCTCTGTGTTTCTGTAGATGCGTTTGGCCAGGTGGAGAGAGCCTCTGTTTCTCTTGTTACTTAAAGTCATGTCTTTAAAAAAAAAAATAACAGTAATTAATTGATTTTATGTGCATTGATGTTTTGTCTTCATGTATGTCTATGTGAGGATGTCAGATCTTGGAGTAAGCTGCCGTGTGGGTGCTAGGAATTGAACCCAGGTCCTCTGGACGAGTGCTCTTAACAACTGAGCCATCTCTCCAGCCCCCGAAGTCATGTTTTCTTAACAGTTGCTCTTCTAAAGTGATGTCTGTCCTTTTGCGAGGTAGAGGTCTGACTGAGTGTTCTTAGTCCCAGCTCCCAGACATCAGTGTATTGAACAGGCTTTTAAAAATGTTTTATTTATGATTTTTATTTATTCAAGGGGAAGTTAAATCCAGGGAGCTAGCTGTCTGATTACTGATTACAGTTTAAAACAAAAATAAAATTGTTTTTAGGATACATTGTTTGGAGCCTCGAGTTGGTTGTTGCACAGCATGGTAGAGTTTTATTTAACACAGTTACATTGTTTTTAGGGCCATAGAGAGAAAAATTTGAGATGTAAAATGTTGCTGAAGTTGCTGGACTAGTATTAAAAATAAAGGTGAATCAGGGTGTAGTGGCAAATTGCTAAACAAGCTGAAGCTTGGGCTGGCACGGTGGTTAGAGGCACTTCTCACTGAGCCTGATGACCTGAGTTCAAGTCCCAGAACCCACATGGTGGAAAGAGAGAAGCAACTCTTAAGTATTGCCCTTTGACCTCATATACAGCCCTACACTTAAAATAAATAAATGTAACACAGATTTGTTTTAAAAGGGGAATGTTCATATGAGGAATTATTTTATTAGGGTTTTTTTTTTTTTACCCAATTGTACATTGATGTTTTGCCTGCATGTATGCCTGTGTGAGGGTGTCAGATCCACTGGAGCTGGAGTTACAGACAGTTGTGAGCTGCCGTGTAGGTGTTGGGAATTGAATCTGGGTCCTCTGGAAGAACAGCCAGTACTCTTAACCCACAGAGCCATCTTGCTAGCTCCAGTGATTATCAGCTGGTAAAGGTCACAGGGATCACTGTTTACCAAGACCTGAAACACCAGTCATTCGAATGAAGTCATAGGTGGTTAGCCTTGTTCTGGGGCGGCTCCTTGATGTCCAGAATAAATACCCTGTATCCTGTCATGGAATGGGTTTCTCAGTGTTGCCTAAAGAGTTTCTTTATCTTAAGCTTAAAAAAATTTAGTTGTTCAGTTTAAAGGTAAAATTGCTGATAGATTATTTTCTTTGGTTTAGTCCATCTCGTTGATATCTGGAACATGATTGAAGCTTTCCGAGACAATGGCCTTAACACGCTGGACCACAGCACCGAGATCAGTGTGTCCCGCCTGGAGACCGTCATCTCTTCCATCTACTATCAGTTGAACAAGCGCCTTCCTTCTACTCACCAAATCAGCGTGGAGCAGTCCATCAGTCTCCTCCTCAACTTTATGATCGCCGCGTACGACAGGCTAGTACCTCTCACAGCCCCTTGTGCCGGTTTCTTCATCACCCCTCCTGACACTGCCTTGCTAACCATGTCAGCTTAGGGCCACACAGAGGTGAATTACCCACTGTAAGACCGTTGTGCGTTCTTGACAGTCTCTTGCTGTCCTCCTCCGGGGTGCCCGAGACAGAGCTCCGTGATAGATGAGGAATCACCGACTTGAGTCAGAGTGTGTGCTGACGTGATAGGCACTTCAGCAGACCTGTCCCCATCTCCTAGAGTTAGGAAATGCTTGAGCTGCGAGTGTGGTGATGCGCCTTTCTAATTGACTCTGTAACACCAAATGCCTTTGGACTAAAGTCCAGACTACAGAGAAATGGTTCTGTTCCAGGAACCAAGAGTTCCTATTTCCCCTCCCTATTGTTTTATTGGCCATTGGACTTGGATGGATAAATTCTCTTTGCTTTGTTTTTTTCGCTATAGATTTATGTTGTATTTATGTGCTAGTAAAATCATATTAGTTGCAGAAATTCAGTGAGTTAGCAGAAAAGTATGGATGTGTCAAAGCCAGGTCATATTTTAGGCTTTCCTTAGATTCATAATATGTTTATTTTACCCATTTGGTAGAAAATTATGTAAAGAATTTTGAATTTTAAAAATAAGCATCTCTAAAAGGTAAAAGTCTCAGAATCTTAAAGTCTTTTAAAAATAGGTTGTGGATCCATAAGTTAATCTTATCCTCTCTCAGGACCAACTCTTGTGATCTAAAACCCTTGTAGAAATTGTTACTTTTTGTAGCATCTCATCATGGCCCTAATCCATTGACTCAGCCAGTTTCAGGCTTACACAACACAAATCAGTTGAAGGAACAATTTTTTAAAATTCAGTAATAAAAATTACCTTACTACCTAAACAGGTGAGTGTAGATTAAAACTCTGATTCTGAGTTGGGAGGAGCTGCAGTTTCATGAAAAAATGTTTTTGTCAAAGGCAGCAGGACCTCAGTATAATCCCCAGGCACTGTGGTGCACACTTGTAGTTCCTGGAGCCGCAGTCACACAGAAAGGAAGTCGTGGCTGCTCATGCCCATGCCCTCAGTGTTGGGTGGGTTGAGAAGGTGGGTGCTGAGAGCTTGCTGCCTGGCCAGCTTAGAAAGCTGCGAGTTTCCAGTTCAGTGAGGGACCCTGTTTAAACACAGGAAGGTGGAGAGTGATAGAAGTCTCCTGATACCCTTCTTCACGGGCATTTATGGCCTCACGCTTGCATGCATCACATGCAAACATGTATACGTATGCATGTACACGCACATACACACAAAAAAAGACAAATAGCTAGACAGTTTATCGGAAGACACAGAGAAGGGCTGGCTCCCTAGGTTCAGTCCCCAGTACTGCCAAAAGAGAAGCAGTGGGAGTGGGGGAGGGAGGAACCATGAATGGAAGAGCAAGCCAGACAGAACTAGCAAGTGCAGAGAGATGAGTGGAGTTGAGGAAGGAGAGGGGGCTTGGTAGTTTTCAGATCTATATGGGTATCAGAATATATTATCACATCTTTATGAGCTCCGAGATCTGTATATGGTGGGAAGATCAACTTAGCTCTCCAAAAATTTAAAGCTGGCTTTTTTGTACCGGAAACAAGAAAGGATAGGATAATTTGAATTTTGTTTTTGTATGTCAGAGCATTTAATTGTTAAGTCCTTCACAGTATCATCACATATTGACTGCCTTTCTGTGGTCATCAGACTGTGGTCATCACACAGTGACCATCACGCTCTTGCTGTTGCACGGTGTCGGTCCCACATTTTAGCTGTTTTATTGAATGACAGATTTATTACTTAGGGGACTTCCTTTGATATGGAAATTACCTAGCTACTTATTTTAATTGAGTCTTTCATACTTTGTATTTATAATCCATCAGGGTTATAGGTTGAATGCAATAATTAATCTTAACTTTTTTCACCTCCTGATTTATAGTCAGTATTTTTGTCCAAATGATTTCTGAGTGGCATAGTAGATTATAAAACTCCCACACAGGTTAGGAACAATTGGAGTTTAAGATTTTGTTCCTCAAGTGAATATTTTCTGAGGATTTAACTTCTTTTAAAGATGAGTTCTAAATGCTATTTGAGAATTAAAAGGGCATTGGAAAGTACAGGCATCTGTGTGTAGGACTGAATGAAAACCACAAGGAGCAATGAAGACATTGACAAGCTCATTTTCATCCCTGTGGTTCCTCACACCACAGGAGCTGATGTCCCACGGTCTGGTCAAGATGAGAAGCCTGTGGGAGAGCAGTGTAAGGAAACTCATGTTGCTAGCATGCAGGGATGGGGGTCTGCCTTGCTTCCTGGGACTTTTACTTACAACCCTCTTTCTGTTTCCTCCTGTGTGTTAGTTTAGTGTCTTAGATTCCAGGCAGAGAAAGTCCATATCAGGAGACTGCATTGAAGCCAGCCCTGCCCTTCCGCCTTATCTGGCTCTGGCTGCATTTCCTCAAGCTGCTTCTGGCGTAGTTCTCCTGTGTCAGCTTTATCTTTGGGCTGATTTCAGAAAATGCCTGCCATCGGTCACTACCAATCCTCTTTCTTCCATGCCTAGGTAAAGGAGAGAAATGGAGACATGCCTGAGCTACCGTTCTGACCTAAGCCCTTGGGCCCCGTGTGTGCAGGGGTTGTTCTTAGGCTCAGACTGTCAGTGTGTGCCCCTGGGGTACAGGGATGTTTAGTTCTTACTGTATGCTTTCAAGTGGTGGGCACTGGGTACAGCGGGTATGCAGAGAGCCGTTACCCAGTGAAGCTTTATGTGCCCTACAAGCTCCTGGATCCCTTTGTCAGGAAACGGCCCAAGTGCCCATCAGTTACTGAAACTTCACCAGAGTCAACATGCAGTCAGTTACATTTCTGGCTCTTGGTTATCTCTCCAGTCTGTGTAGTTTCTGTAGAATCTCTCTTCCCCCAGTACCATCTGAGCCCTTCACCAATTTCTCCTGGGCTGCTAGCACTGCTTTATTATTATTATTTTGCATGTATTCCTTTCCTCATTCATTCATTCCTAGAAATAACAAATCCACGTATCCATTGTCTACCCTAAGGATCTGAACCCTGGCAGTAACTTCTGTTTGTTTCTGTTTTGTCTGGTCCCATCCCACTGACCTGTGCCTTATGGGCAAGTAGGATCCAGAAGAAGGCATTGAATCCCCTGGAACTGGAGATACAGGTGGTTGGGAGCAACCATGTCTGTTAAAGTTATTTTTATAAAACATGTTTGTTTCTCAGTTTGTCTCTATCACACAAATAACCAAAACTCTATTATATTATTTAAACAAGCTTCACAGCACAAGAACTGAGCAGTTACTACTCTAATCTTAACCCTCTAACACAATTGGTTTCCTTCCAGCATACATCCCAGAGATACTTGAACTTTGTAGCTTCCGGCTCCAGCTCCTTCTCCTGATGTCTCTTGGACCTCTCCCATAGCTGAATCCCCTCCTTCCTCCTCTAACTCCATCTGCCCTGGCTGGCAGGAAGTCCAACCCTATCCTCTCCCCTGCTCAGATGGCCTGTAAGCTACTTTATTGGCCTATCGGGACAATTGGGAAGCAGTGTTTATAAAGCATTGAGACAGGAGAGTCTCAGAATAAGGATTGCAACCAGGTATTGAGGGGGAGGGATGTATAGAAATCAACATTTGAATGACACAGTAATCCTATGCCTACACAGTGGGTGCTGGGAATCAAACCTAGGTCTGTTGGAAGATCAGCCAGTGCTCTTAACCATGGAACCAATTTTCCAGGTCCCAAATTGTTGTTTTTTGAAACAATTTCTTTCCAGTAGCCCAGTCTGGCCTCTAACTTGCAATCCTCTTGCCTCTGTTTCCCAAGTGGTGGGATTGCAAGTGTGCATGACCACACCTGGCTATTAAGTGGCCATTTAAAGTTTTTTTTGTTCTTATTTATTCATTCTGTGTATTTGCACTATGGTGAACGCGTGGAGGTCAGAGGACCGTCTGCAGGCGTTGATTCTCTCCTTCCACTAGATGGAGATGGAATTTAGTTACCTGCTGAGCCATCTCAACAGCCCTAGACTGGTGTTTGAAAAATGGCATCAGCATTATTTAATTCATGAGTTAATTTGTTAATAAGTTAAATGATGTTAATCACTGTCTGATTTTAAGTATGACTTCCTTCTGCCTGTAGGGTTTCCTTTGTGTGTATCATATTTTTATGTATTTTTCCTTAAAAGTTTTTCTTCATTCTTAAATATATTTTCATTTGGCACGCAGTTCCTGATTGATAATTACTTTCTTCAACATTTAAAGAATGCTACTTCTTTCTGGTGGTGGTTTTTTGAAACAGGGTTTCACTAGGTAGCTCTGGTTCTCCTGAAACTTACTAAAAACTTACTAAATGGACCAGGCTTGCCACACCTCACAGATCTACCTGCTTTTGCCTGGTGTGCATCGCCATGTCCAGTTTAGGAATGCCATTTCTGTTCTTCTTGGCTTTTGTTGAAAAGTTAACAAAGTATGTTGTCTTGCTTCTTTGATGTTTAGCTGTCTCTTACAGCCCTTTAAGATTAAAAAAAATTTTTTTAAACTAGTGTGACAGAGCCATGATGTGATTTTCTTTGTATTTATTGTGCTTATTCTTTGTTCAGGCTGTGGAGGTTGTCTGATGATGCCATGCATGCTTACATTTCTCGTTTTATTTTTATATTCTTTACAGTTTTCTTCCCTCTGTGAAATTTTAAATTATGTAAGATGTTCCCTCTTATATATTTTATATTGTGAATTTGCCATGCTTCCTCTTTGGGCTTTGTTTTTTTTTTTTTTTTTTTCTTTTAGTATATTTTCCAGATACTTATTTTCCGTAGACCAGTGTCTAATCTGTGTTTAAGCCTTTTGGTGTTAATTTTAATGAGAATCTCTAACAGTCAGGTTTTAAAATCTTTATTATTTATTTATTTGCCTATTTATTTTGATTTTTCAAGACAAGGCTTCTCTGTGTAGCTCTCAATGGTCTTAGAAC